GATAAGTTTAAAAAATGAAAACAACATTGGATTTATCATTCTGAAACACGCACACGTAAATTGATCAGCCATCACCTTAACAAAATGAAGAGACGGAAGAGAGAAACAAACGCATGATAACACTTAAAAATTTTTTTGACAGGTCCCTTTTAACAGATAAATTAGGTAATATGATGTCAGAGATTAATATTTTACTCTCCTCGTTAATTTTGTGCGACTGTTTGGATTTACGTGAGCAAATTCCTTGTTTCAGGTGCATATATTGATTGCATATTATTTTTTATTATTATTATTATTATTATTGTTGTTGTTGTTGTTGTTGTTGTTGTTGTTGTTATTTATTAATGTCGATAGTTTTCCCGTCGTGAAATTGACAATAGCTTTTTGATATTGTTTGGAAAAATCATTAATTCTTTACACATGGCAATCGACTTTTAGGAAAAAATCTTACTATTATTGATCCATTGAATGTTTTTCTTTTAAAATCTGGTCTCATGACACATCTGGCGTTTTTTTTATTGAATGGCATAGAGACAGGGAATTTCTCAACTAAGACAATGTCATATCAATATAAAGTAATTTTTTTGTCCGGATGCAAAATCTTACTTTTTAATACCATTATCCATTGTTCGAAAGGAAACTCCACACATAAACCCCCCGCACAAATGTATTTTTTGGATTATGACATCATAAATCCGACAAGTTTGTGGCTAAAAAGGATTTGTGTAATCTCACTTTATTTTCTGTCAATATTAATCGAAAAGAAAAAATCTGATTTCAGGAGTTAAGCATTCTTCCAAATGAAGTAAAACAAATATTTTTTCATTGAGCATTTTTTTACTTTCATTATTCGCCCTACTAGTAACACAATGATGCACCATAATGCATCATCACTAATTAACTTTAATACCGTTTTTGAATTGTTTTTGTGCGAACGAAATTTTGTATGAAACTTCGCATATGACATGGCATAGAGCATCAATCAAAGCTTGCAATATCGACAACAATTGTTGTTGTCTAATATAACCCTTTTAACACCTAATTCAACGTCAACGAATCAATATGTCAATTCAAAGAACAAAAAAAAGATGGGTTATAATTGGTGAAATCTGATAACGGTGATATGACGACAACAACAATATTAAAATGCGGTTACATCTCGCTTTCCGTGGATATGCATACAATATGGCAAGCCCGCAATCCTTATTGAATCCCATAAAAATTATCGATCCTCATCATCATCAACCTGCCATTTTCAGGAAAAAAAGCGAGAAATAGAAATGTCGAATTTCATTCATCCTTGAATCCGAATCCCGATATCACGCTTTTGCATGCGAAAGTATGTATGCATATTTGTATCTACTCGATAGAAAATGCATGGTGCATCAATCAATCAATCGAACCACCAACAAACAAGGGTCAGCTGCCTGCAATATAATGCTTTTTTGTTTTCGATTGCACATTATGCTAAATCGGAGGAGATCGGTTATCGAATATGATTTCACGATCCGAAAGCCTCTTTTTGCCATCACTATTTCTTTACGCGTTTATTACTAAACATGTATAAGCTTATGCTTATACGCAAGTATGTGATTCAATAGATACATGTATGTATGTACAGTATGTTATCTTGAATGATACGCGAATGACTTGAACTCTCTAACGAATTATGCTTATTGGAAGAGAAAAGCCAAGCACGCGGTAAGAAAAATTCACATTGCAATTGATTGAGAGGAGAGAATTGTCCGGATATGAAAGTTCTGAAATCCGGGAATTTATCCTGAATCTTTGATCTATTTACTATCGAACACTCCTTTTCAAAACATAGCTAACTGTATTTATCCAGCTACATACTATTACCTTGGATTCGATATCAGCATACCGTTATGCATAACATATTTTATGTAAGCTCGAAATCTTTTGAATTTGTAGGTTTGAAAAAAAAAATAGAAAATCAAAAATTATTCATGGTTGGGATCGGCAAGACATTAAATTTTCTTATGAATTTCAAAAAAGCAAGCTTTCATTGAAGCATGATTAGTAAATCAATCATCATTTCTTATCAGAATTATTTTGTCAAACCATATGTGTTGTGAATGATCCTAAACAATTGAAAATGTTTTTTAATTCTTAATGTCGATCCAATAATCATAATAATTTTAAGTTGTCAAAATAAAACATCTGTATGATACGTACGTTTCTCTCCAAAAATAGACAATAAATGTACAATGATAACATTACGTCGTCGTCGATATTAAGAAAAACCTCACAGGTGTTTTACTTTGTGCAAGAAATTCATGTAGGAATTTATTTCACTATTGTCATCCAATTTAGTAATGTATATGTGTTACTCTGGAAATTCTGTGCTTTCCATGTTGGATAGCGATAGTTGCCGATTCGTCGGATCGTTACTATCTGTCAAAAATATAAGTATACACTTGACTTATATGTAAAAAATAAAATTTTTATGCGAGCGGTTAACTTTGTGGTTAATCATAAAACAAACCATTGCTATTATTTTCTATATGCCATTGTTGTGCGTTGCATAAGGGAGAATAACGACATCCTTGAAAAAGGGGGGATGAAAACTCAACAATGGATATATGCTAGATCATTATTTGTCTTCTAATACTATTTAATTTTATTGAATATTTAAATATTTTTTTATGTTTATTGTTATATTTTTAATTTATTATTAGCATTAGCTTTCGCATTCTTTCTATTATTAATTACATCATTAGTTATAATAATAATAGGAATTTCTCGGAACGATGAATTCAAAACTATCTTTCAATCGGAATAATAATCTGATGTGGATATACTTAAAAAGTTTATTGAGGTCACTCACATAAATGAAATTGCTTTTTTAAAGCGAAAGCCTTACAAAACTTTTACATACAAACTTTCGCCCTCGCTTTTCTCAGTATTTTTGTCCCACTTGATCAATGACGCAATAGACGCTCAGGCGTTTAGTTAAATTTCTTTCCCAAGTAAGGATTTTGGCGGCGTATTTTTTTTTTGCCCTTGTTTGTTTATTCATCTCTAAGCCATTTATTTTTTTTTGCCTCGCACAAAAAAGTATTTGTTTTAGCAATTCAAAATTTAAAGTTCTAAGATATGACCGCTAAATATAGATAGATTAAAAAACAACAATGGCACAATGATGATGACGAAAAAACTTGCACCAAAACCTTGGCTCGAATTCTGAATGGCCAATTGATTTAATATTCGGAATTAATATTTTTAATTCACTGGTTATTTTTGGGCTTCGTGGAAAAACCACCAACTGTTTTTTGGTTAGAAGAAAGTCTTTCTATAACGATAAATGTGTACAATAATAACAACAATTATGTGTATGTGTGTGCAAAATGTGGCTTTAGACCACCTGATCACTTCATATATATATTTATTTTTTTTTTTGCGTCTAATACGTAAATGTTACTTTTTATACCCAAAATGCAAAAAAATACATGTTAACTCGCGTAATATTGAATAACATTCACATACTTCATACATATACATACATTCATAATCTATTCATTATTCATACTCCATTCATACTCTATTCATACTCTTAACCCCACAAAAATGTATTTCGCAAGAAAATTTCATTATACGTACATTGCGTCACTCAACCTCAAAACTTATTATTGTTTGGGATTTTAATAATATTTGTATTTGTTCTCGTTGGAATAGTTTTTTTTATTGTTCTCTGTTTTCGAATATGGAGCGGAGAGAAATCCTGTAGCAGGATACAAATATGGGGATTAGGAAAGAATGAGCTGATTCTAGGATATAATCACGAATCATTAATTAATTATTATTATTATTATTGATTTACATCCAATTAAAAAAAAAATGCCTAAAACTTTGTTATTATTCCTCCGGATCTAATTGCCCAGTTGCCTACCTAAGCTAAATATTGAAAAAACACACATATGTGTGCCTTCAAGATTATACTTATTAGTTCAAAGTGATGAAAAAAATTAAGAAGTAAGGGTAAAACCCTACAAACGTACAGATATACATGTTATGTACGTGTTTCGTGTGCGTGCGTGTACATCAGAAGGAAAAAGAAATTATTCCAAAATTAAGTGAAACAAATGGACGGATTAGGGTTTTTACGTCAACGCTGTTGATTTCATGCATTCGTGCATTTAATAACAATTTTTGAATTGGTTCTTGATGCACACCAGATAGCGATAATGTCTCGTTTAAACTAATCTATCCAAATGAAGGCATTTTACAAAAACGAGTTTGATCGAAAACGCGTATTTGAAGTAATCTGGTTTTTTAGCAATTAATTAGATAAGAAATATCTCGTAACAATCGTGAAGATAACTAAGAAATTTGCGATCAAAAATGTTCAAAAACTTTAGCCAAAATAAACACAACTAGGATGAGTAAGAAGAAAAGATAAGAACATGAATGAAATCGAACAAACAAAGAAAAAATCATGAAGTAAGCTTGGCGGTGGCATGTAAAGAAAAAAAATCGCCAGTTTAAAAGTTCCTCCGCCAAATTTTAAAGTTTTGCGGTTTAAGTTTATGGCAAAATGCATACACCAGAAAAGTAAATAAGTCAAATAAAACGAAAGAATATCTTAAACACAATCCTAATGCTAGTACATGTACCTATACCTACTTCTCCATGGACATAATTATCCAAGATTAATCTCCTCAATCCATTCATCATCGATGCGCGATTAACCAATCAATGGCTGTACTTGGAATCATTGTTCACGTCAAAAACATATGGTCTTGGAGAGTCGCACAGCAAATTTATATTCTCCAAAATGCGAGAACAAAAAGACAATACAAAATCGAGTTCCACAAGTTTCTGGGCGAATATAATCATATTAATATATTATAATTAAAAAAAACTCGTAAGCAATTTTTTATTGGCCGCGAGTCCAATACCTCATTATCTGTATCACATTCATTTACGTGCTGATGATTACCAGTTTATGATCTTGTTTCTTTTCACCGACCAATCATAGAATGAATGAACAAGTAAAACCGGAATTTCCCATAGAAATTGACCGACGATTAGGTAATTCGAAACTAGTTTGGTCATTACCATATCGGCTACCCTTTTGGCCCAGAAATCATGAAGACAAAAAAATTTTTTCTATCGATATGTACCGTTTTTGAATTGTCATATACGTACACACCACACCACCACATGTAGCATTGAATTGAAAGAGCGATTTTAAAATAAATTCTTGATTTTGAATAAGATCCAGGTGAATCATCATCTTCACCGAATTCGTCGATGATATCAAATTTTTTTTAGATTAAATTGTCAACTGTAAAAGTATTAAATCTCGAGGAAATGGTAAGACTGTGCGTGAAATTATTAAATTTTAATTAAATGGTAAGGCTTGTGTGTGAAAATATTAAAAAAACTTTTGGATTAAATGGTTAAGCCTGGACACACTCCACAAAACTCCACAAGACCGATAATCCAATCAACGATTAAAAATTTTATTTATCACGCATTAATAGCATAACCAGGCAAGTGTTTCATCTGCTCGTCGCCCGTAATTTTTTGGTAAAACTATATTATTTAGGCGCACACCTAACACAATAACAGAATATGCGTATATTTTAGTGCATCCGTCAACAAGTCGTGATTGTATGCGTGTTCTTTGATGAGATATATGATGTGTGTGTATTGTAATAATACAATGTAAAATTATTTTATATACGTTTAATTAATAAATAAATAAATAAATAAATAATAATTATAATAGTAATAATAATAGTAATAATAATACAATTATTATTATGTTAATATATATGTATTAAATGAAAGAAAAATGGCTTTCAAATAACCATACAATGATGATGAATAATATACAGATATATACACAAAGGATACATAATGATATTAAAATATGATAACAAGGCTAACAAAAGCACACACTAGGCTTAATAAAATCACAAAAAAAATATTTATTTAACATAACAGTCATTCTAATATAATAATATAATAGTGGTGGTGGTGACACCTGATGTTCTAGGTAAAAAATGTTGTCAAGCATTAAATAGTATTATTATTATTATTATTATTATTATTATTATTATTATTATTATTATTATTATTATTATTATTATTATCATTTTCTTGCATTTTTGCGATAATTAAAACGGATATAATAGAAATAGATGTAGTTTTTAACACTATCATCACTAAGTAATGTTTCGGTATACCGTATGAAGAAATTATACTATTTAGAATATAATTAGCTTTAACTTGCAAAAGCGATCAATAATACTACCAATAGTAGTGATAAAAGTAGTATCTATCGATTTTTTCAATCACATCGATATAGAGTTTAAGCAACAATTTTACTCCCTTTTCAATAAATATATATACTGACTGAATATTTTTTATTTTATTTTTTTTTTACTAATTTTTTTTTATTTAATTTATTTTTTTTATTACATGTATTAAATTTATTATTTCTCGCTTCACTATTTCTCTTTGATTTTCTATTGGTTTATATGGTATCTTGTATTTGACTTTATAGGACCAAAATTTTCTATTTAATCCTATCATCGTTCTTTTTTCTTCTTCACAATTCTTTGTCTGTTCAATTTGTCCGTCGACGAAAAGCCCGAACTTAGCAGACAACAGAAGGAGAAAACACTGTAATAGTGCAATTAGTATATCTATCCGCACCCACCACACACACATACTCGAACAACAACAACAACAACAACAACTTCACACACACGCACACACAAACAATATAACGTAGTAATATTGTAATTAAAAATAATACGTTGTGTTGTCCCTCCTCATCGTAATCGTATATTCATCCACATATTCATCGTTTCTCCTGTGTGTTTGCTTTATTCAAGTTTCACGGTTTTTTCTTTGCTCTCTTGTAACGGACTGCCCCCCAAATTTTACAATAATAATATATTTACTATTATTATTTTTCTCATTATTTTTGGTTAGTTAGCCACTAGTTAAATAGTTGCATAGTGTCAATTTTTTATAACCGACGACTACTACTATTTTAACATTTCACCCTTTTTTCACGATGTCTAAATCTTATTAGACTAATTCTTTTTTTATTTAAAAATCTCTTTTTCTTCTTTTTAACGAAATCATCCCGGTTTTTTCTCCCTGTTATTAATAAAATAGTCGTCAAGTTTTTAGTCCTCTCTTCTTTCACAACTCAAAAACAACAAACCACGCTGCTGTTAATCTCGCCCATAATATATATTCACAGCACCTGTCAAAAATTCAACTCCTGATCAGAGCAAAATTTAACTCAACAAAAAAAAACAAAACGAACACGACTACTTGTTTTCAACAGAGAAAGTGAAAAAATCCTCGTCTCCATCATCCGTCCCATCATAACAAACGGTTTTCGATTCATTTTTTTTTTTCTTTTCCCGTTTCGTTTCATTAATCTTGAAAAAAATTCGTTTCTTGTTTCTTCCATTTTCCAAAAACTTCCATTTTTCATTCGTAATTTTCATTTTCACGATAACGTCCGACGACGACGACCCAACGACAAACACAGCAACGACCACACAAAATCTCCATTTTTTTTAATAGTTCTCGTTTCGGTAGTCCCCGCCCTCTTTCTCCTACCAGTCTAGACAATTACAGTCACAGAATAAATTATATTATTATTTCTACTATAAATATACAATACTGCCATTTTTAGCTAGTCGGGTTACACCTGAGAAATAATAATAAATAGAAAAAAAAACAAACGAGAGATCACATAAAAATTAAAAAAAAATGGCTACTTCAAAATCATGTTTGACTGAGGTCGTCTCCAATCCAAGCACATCTCCAGTTTCTATCTTAAATAAATCCAAAATCTTAAAAAATAACATAAATAAAAATAATGACATTACTAACACTACAGAAGCTCAATGCGAACGTCGCAAATCAGTTCGTTTCAGCCGATTCGAAAAAGTGTACTACACGCATCCAGCGAACATTTATGACCGATCCCCGATCCACCGAGAGTCGTCGTGGAATTATTATAAGCAGCAGCATCAAGCTCATGTTCCGATTGCCTCTCAAGAACATGAATTGACGCGATCGGTTGGAGTTCCGGTCACTGTAAATATGTCCGGAATAATAAGCACGCCGGTCCAAACGATTGCTGCACCACATCATCATTATTCGCAACCACATCATCATTATTCGCAACCACATCATCATGTTATGCCTACGTCACTTTTAACGACGGCATACACGCAACAACCGATAATAGGAAATTAATCGGTTCGTTCTCCATTACTTATGACTAAATAATGAGATTGGGCGCTCTTACTTTTGAAAACATCCACGACTGGGACCATAATTCTTAAAATCTATGAAAAAAATCCCTTTTTTTCAAAAATTTAAAATTCCCAATATAAAAAAAACTATTATATACGCAAAATACACTCACCATACATACAGACATACAAACAATATAGATTATAGAGTTTTTGGTACTTTTATTAATATTACAACATATACAGTAGAAGGTCGCGTTTTTCTAAGAGTAATATCACGATACATAATTAGTCCCAGCTTAATATTTATTCTTCTATATAATAATATGCTTATTAGTAATTCACTTTTCGAGTTAAAAAAAATTAATATTTAAACTTACGATTTAATTAGTCGCCAGCCCTGTATGATAATAATTTCACGTACATTTAAAATCTAATATCACAAAAACTAATTTCTTTTAATAATAATCATAATAATTTCTCCTACATAGTGCTCAAAATAATTTTGTATTTTCTTTGTAAATATTGTTATGAACATTAAAAAGCACTTAAAAATTCCTGTGTGAGTATCTTATGCTACATACCCACGTTACATTTTTTCTCTGATTTCATTTTTTCTGTTTAAAAATTTCGTTAATTTTTCTTTTTGTCGTTTTGCACCTCTTTTTTTTTTTTTTTGCTTTTCTCTAGTCTCGATCTCTTCTTGATCGGACTTCAAAATCCCCTTTCCAAAATATGCCATTGTACAAAATTTCATCACCATCACAAAATTTAAAGTTTTTGATATCGATATCAACGCTTAATTAATCATAAAACAAACTCTATGTAAAATATAAAAAAACTAGTTTTTCAAGTCATAATTCAAGAAAAAAATATAAAATAAAAACTGTACAAAAGTTTTTTTGTCTTCATTGTTATTGCCAAAAATGAAATTGCTGTGAAAAAATTTGATGTCATGACGATTTACGTAAATTGACGACTTAACTATACATGGACTCTTAATTTTTCCGCTAAAATGAAAAAACGTGTGTGTTTTCTGAAATTATCCTTGAAGCGTTATTTTTTCCATGACACGCATCATGAATGCGTCTGCATTCTGGGAATTCTTCTTCATGCAGAAAGAAGCCACTTCTAGAAAGTTATTTCTACGAAATTCAATGGATTAGGCATGAATGCCACAATACATGATTACATATATTTATTCATGCTACAAGGATTCTTTCAAATTGTCGTGTCTTTCTCGAGCAAAAGATTCGCCACATGGCGACGAGAAAAAAGTGTATAATCGATATACGTAAGCTAGCATAATTAAAAACTGTGTGTGTATGCGCTGCTGATCGACATAGAAAAAAAAAGATTCTTCCTTGATTTCTGACATGTGAGAATTTTTCAAAGTAATAAAAAGGCACGCCAGTCTCGGTCATTGAAAACCCATTGTTCTCAAAGATTTTGTGAATGTTATCGTTTTGTTTACCGAATTATTATCTTACGTAAATATTATTTAAACCAATGTGTGGGGATATTAATCGACAAACATGGTTAAGTTTAGAGATTATCGTTCAATTACGTAAAAGAATGAAATTTTATGAAGCAAATGATATTTCATAAATGTAAAAAATTAAAGAGGGGCATTTTTCAAATTTTCGATAATTTGTAGTATAGAAAAAAATTACAAAAACCAATACGTTGGAGAAAATAGGAAATTGAACGCCTTTTCCCCAATTCACAAATTACGCACTGAGAAAGCATCCATCCTCATACACCACCCATACACCAATCCAAATGTAATTAAGGATGATAGACATGCCGTAATCATAATGCACAGTATAAACACTACATACGTTGCACAATGCGAGGTGATGCGATGTTTTTATATTAACGGCCGTATACACGTATTTAATGCGAAAATCTCGCACTTTTGACGAAACTTGACATATTCTTCGGGGGTTCTTTGTGTACGAAATAAAAAAAATCTGCCGAGAAAAAATGCTTAAATCGGATTTCAAAAAAGGAAATTGTATCAGCGATGATATGACTTTTATCAAAAATTGTGACAATAACAAACGAAGGCACACAAAGTAAATAATACGCAATGCCTCTCTTTACAGTGTATCTATTAACGTTAGTAAATAATCCGCTGCTTTTTTTTTGGCACAGGAACAGAATTTCTGAAAAAAGGTTTTTAATCCAACTATATCAAGATTTTAATTGGTCTCTACAAAGGGGTCTACCGTAAAGAACGTTATTTTTTGCATTTCTTAATTGGTCTCTACAAAGGAGTCTATCGTAAAAGTACGTTATTTTTGGCATTTTTTGTTCGGATCAAAAAGAAAATCTCTCACTAACGCACGAACATGATATATTCGAGCCCTCGGATGCAACAAGAAAATCTGTTATAAGGCGCAATGTCTTTTTAGGTAAAAATAAATGCGTTATTTATGATCGATTTTTCTTTGGCAATTTTTAATTATAATTATCTTGGAATTAGTGTTGCCAATATTCGTTAGCGTAAATTTCATATCCCTAGAAAATAAATAGAGAGTCGGTTACTTGGCGAAAAAGTCTTCGTCAAAGAGCCCAAAGAACGATTCCATAAAAAGTGTATTTTTTAGCTATCTCACTAAAACAGTGATTATATTTGTATGATAAGACTCCGAGATCAGAGATAGATTGAAAATCTCTGATAGAATTATCGACAGGTTGAGGATTTAACGCTGCACATGTGTTCTTTAAACATGCAGATAATGCAGGTTTCGAAAAGGTGACGGTGTTGTCATTCATAATCGATGTTTACCGTTACCAATTGGGCGTATTTTGGATTTGTTTCTGGCTGGCTGCTCTTTCTTAATTTTTTCTCCTTAATAGTAAAAAATTCTTTGTATGAATGTGGACGGAAACCCATTCCCATTTTCTTTGGCGTATTTGATTGTTACTTTGCGCACGCCCGATTGGGCTCTTAAAGAGGTATATGTGTTACATTGACTTTGCAGTCTCCTGCTCTTTGTGCTCTTTTGCAATCTTCTTTAAAAAAGTTCGCCATCGCAAACACGTGTTTGTTGATGCGAGTATATGCATATGTTAATATAGCGATATGACGATTCAAAAACACGCGTCTGGTCTCTTGGCCTTTTAGTCGTCGTTTGACGTGTCATAAAGTGTATGTTGATAATTAGTTGACGGCTAAAAGAATTATTTTTGTAATCATTGACGATGTTCTTATTTCATATGAAGTTGGCACGGGATTTTTTTAAATATACTACTTACTTATATTAAGTATAAAATATTACTATACTCTGAATACGTCTGTGCACACAATTGAAATTTAAACATTGTTATTAAACACAAACAAATGATTAAGATTAATTATGTTATTTTTTTTCATAAAACTTAGTTTAAATGAGTGTCTGTGCACTCCGTGATGACATTATTGTAATACTTTGATTTTGGCACGCATTTTTTCAACTATGCGCACGAGACGTTGTTTTACTTCCTGACATGTCTAGTCATAAAGGATCGTGGGTAGTCGTAAAAATAAATTTTAAGTTATCGTGAAATATTTCCTAGATAACGGAAATTAAAATACTAAAAATAATCTTCGATTAAGTAACCTAAATATTTAATATAATAAGCTTTAACGTTAAGGGTCAAATTAACCATTCATTTATTAGGTCAGGTGTTTAATCATCCCTGACTATCGACTTTCCATAAATGTCGGAACAAAGAATGATATCATCATTATCGATATAGGAATGGACTGATCGACAAAGTCAGTTGACCATGATTTGTAACGGTTTTCACACATTTATCATTAAAAATAGCGCATCATAACGATAATAAATGATGATAAGATATTAATAATAATTTTAAGAGGGAGGGTTACATCGAACATCTTTAATTTTCAAGCAGACCTATTTTTGTCATTTAATTAAACTCTAAACGTATAAATTAAATCGATAATCGATACACGTATAGTGAGGTCATTATTAAATTGTCTTCTCGAACAATAAAAGAAATAGGAGATCGATATGATATGACATTATGACAATTTAGTTATTTTAGGAATCGAGAAAAGTTCTCATTAATACATATATAATGAAATGTAAGAGATCATGGCGATAATATTTGTTAAACTATTGTTCTAAATCCTTAGTTTTCTTAATGAGCTCTATGGTTTACCAGATCAATCACGATTATCAACAACTTTAACTTGAATAAGCTTTAATTAAGAGAATGACGTATCGAATTGCATTTGTAAATTCTTTTTTGTATGTTATCGTCAAAATATTATTCTTATTATTGCCAGCCATAACCAAATTATTTATTATATGCAAATCTTAAAAAAAAAAAAAAGAGGGATTTTTTATCGTTATGCTGGAGCAAGCTGGCTATTTCGTAAGCCAAGGAAGATTCTAGCTAAATACGATTAAAATCCCCGTAACCACCTTCTCAAAAAAAAAGATCATCCTATTATACATTGGAAAACATGTGCGAAAATGAAAATTGATATTATTCTACACACAAAGTTGAAACTTTCCAATTTCAACAAGAGATCCACAAAACGCATATTGCATGAGTCGTACATAGCTGTTAACTCATGACATGACACTTTTTCTTTGCTCAAAGCGCCAATCAAATACACGCTCGTCATACACGTGTTGTGTCACGAATATCCAGAAGTATGCATACTGTATGATGATGTGATTTTTAATTGAGCGATTTCAGTAAATCTTTAATAATGAATTCGTTATTTCTTTGTCTATTTTTTTTTTCTATTTTTCCTTAAGTTTGTTGTGCCAGAGATGGATAAAATTAAAATTTGCCATAAAGAAATCGCGAAAAAAAAACTTTATTTCAAAATTGGTTATCGGTGGCGTTAAGGATGTTATCTATGTTAAAAAGTTGAATAGTAGCTGAATAATCCATACACACGTATATTCATTTTTGTCTATGCAATTTGCACATGAGAGACACATCGCCGAGTCTCGATAATTTGAAACATAC